TGTTAAACTTGTTAAACTTTTGGTGCTAGATTGCAGCAAAATCCGCCACTAACAAGAGTATACCCCCTAAAGCCCACCCCCAAATTCCTCTAGTCCAGAGTATGCCCAGAGTACAATTGAGTACAATTGATTGACAACTGACACATGCAAAAAAAGCTAGCTAGCGAAGTGCTATGCAGTGTGCTATGTAATGTGTTCTCTGCAGACATCTGCATACATGCTTAATTAATAAATTAATTTTTGTGGGGGGGGCTTTCCAACAATAATAAATTAGGTTACATCTATGGGCTAATGACAGGCCTGAACAGTGTTGATGAGCACACCATCGCCCCCTGCTGTATACTCTGCTTTCACAAGGCATTGGATTCGTTTAGAAGTGTCACATTCAGTTTGTTCCAACCCCAATATGCCTACGCTCTCACCCACTTTAGCTTAAAATTTCTTATGGTTGTACCCAGACGTTTTCTTTACAAGATCATATTTGACTCCTGAGTGGCCAGAGGGTGCTAGCTAGAAGGTGCTAGCTTAAAGGGCCCTTTTTGGTCACGTAACACTGAGTGAACCACCTTATGTTTTACTATAAACATGTTCCTAGTGATTAGGGCCTGGCGCATATATCAGTTACCTGACAACATTGGCCGAAATCAAGGTGCCCGTGTTTTTCAATGAGCAGACACTTACGTGAAGAAAAGCGTCACTTTATAGAGACTGCTAATCTGACAGCCATGAGTTGGTCGCTTCTATTACGCGCATACAGTCTGAACTGGACATTTTAAAAACAGATGGTTAAAATAGCAAAAACAGAAAGTGCATTCAGATCTAACCTTTAGCCTGAGGACAAATAAAGCATAATGTGTGCGTGTGCACACACACACACACACACACACACACACACACACACACACACACACACAAAGCGATTTTTATAGAGAATAAATAAAAAATAATAAAATAAGAGCTACCACTAAGAATTCTGTGAAGCTCTGCTTCATCACTGTTGCAGTATTTATATTACGTAAGATTGTGAGTTTGCTGTTTGAGTTTAAACAGAAAGAAATGCAAAGTTATATTTGACACTGCGCAGTTGACAACAGACAGTCATATCAGCACTGTTTAACTACATCAGTCTTTTTCATTGTTAACCGTATTAAAATGTTGGTTAAAATCATCACTGCCCAAAGCAACATATATATTAGTCAGCTTCTGTTTGTTATTCATGCGTTTTTAGTCGCAAAAACTGATGTTGCAGATTCTTGTGATTCTTTGTGAGAAGCTGTACTTTCTTCTTAATGGTATTGTCCAGTACAATGAACGCTCATGTCTAAATGTGACCCAGACACAAAGTAGCAAAACATACAAAAGGTTTTTTGTGCCAGTTAAAAGAAGGCAGTTCCCCAATAGCAAACCGTCCTGGCAAACAACTTTTTCTTAGAATCAGTCTTAGTCAAGGTCTGAGGGTAGCTTTTTACCTGGTGTGCAAGTGCATAATGTCAAGAGTAATATCTCACCCTCACAAGTCAACTTGATCTCTAGCTGTCTTTTTCTTTCTGCTCCATCGTTCTTCTCTCTCCCTCTCCCGCTTTCTTTCCATTTCACCCCTTTCACACAATTATTCCACCTGCCACCCATGAAAAGCTTGCCTGCAGCCCATCTCTCTTCCTCTGCTCTGTGACACCACCCCTTCTTACTCTCTCTCTCTCTCTCTCACTCTCTCTCTCTCTCTCTCTCTCTCTCTCTCACACACACTCTCTCACACACTCTCTCCTCCAACAGCAGATACCAGCAAATGTTGTTGATGAGCCGAGGTGAAGCGGAAGAGATTTTATCAGCGTTTCACATCTGCCCTCCTCCTCCATCATCCCTCGTTCTCTCCCGCCCTCCCTCTGCCGTAATCATCCAGCCTTCTATCCCCTGAGCCTGCCCCCAGCCCCTGCACTCAAATCCAGCACACCATGAAGAATTAAAATAAAAGAGAGGAGGGAGAAAATACAATATGTTTGCTCAGATTTGGCTCATGTATTGTGAGGCACTCCTGCTGACAAACTCAGTTTTTCTGGCATCGATAGGCTGACCTGATTGCTGATACTTGAGCTGACAGCCAGGGACAGAGAGTGCGAGAGAGAGAAAGAGAGAGAGAGAATACTTGTCCCTCTTTGAGCATCTGACTTGTGCAAGTGACCTGAGAACTGATTTACCTTTGATTCTGAATTACTTTGTATTTAAATAGCATCACAATCATAACAAAACCTCTAGCTATGTTTTGTTTTTTTGTTTCAATTTCTGTTAATGTAAGCCGCCCTTAATGTTGTGTCAACATTTGGTCTAAACTTACTTGGGATAAAATCTTGATATGTTAACATTAGGGTCTGACCAATACACCAGTTTACTGATAATATCAGCTAATACTGACATCCCGTGGTTTTATTGGTGTCAGCAATAACATGCCATCTTGGCAAACAGTTGCTATAAACAGAGAAGCTCATTGCCCCCATTGTTACAACATTTGTTATTTAATACTGTTTCAGCTGAGAAAATTGAGAGGAAAAATTGAGTCATATCTGTCAGCAAAGCAATGTTTACAGGGGAATTGCACCAGTTTTTCAAAACTTCTCATAATTCAATGGCTAAGATGTAGACAAAGTCATTCAGATTAGTTTGATGTGAAACGTTCTGTTCTGGAGAAACTTGCCCAGTCAGATTGTTCATGGTGATGGTGAGAGGAACCAGATGTCTGAAGAGTTTAGTGCTTCTAAAATGCACTTTTTAACACTCATTCGTAGCAGAGAGGTACATGCAGGACATTATAAGGCAAAATAGTCCCCAAAACAAAATGTATTTTTCCAGACGACACATGTAGGTTCCATGGTGGTCTTGGATAGTAAATAAAATGGTTATATTTAAGCTGTAGGAACCTCTGGTTCCTATCACCACCACTGTAAAAGAATAGGTTTTTAACTTCAAACCACTCTGAATGACTTGGAATATAAAATAAAAATCTGAAATATAAATATATTATCAGTTATCTAACTTTTTAGCCCCCTAAAATTGCTATCAGTATCGGTCACAAAATGTTCATATTGGTTGGTACCTGTTTAATGCACGTTAAAGTTAATTTAACATTTTCCTTGTCCTATAAAGTTACTATTTGGAAGATAGAATAGTGTTACAACACCAGGTTTTGATCTGATGCAATATGAGGTTTTGTTATTATAGTGACCATTATCATTATGAAAATATTTAACACCGAAAAACACTGAACCCCACTGAACACTGAACCCCATAAAGAATCCCAAAAGTCACTGCCGTACTTGGCCATATCATAGCTGATGGGACAAAACCTTGTATCTCCATTTTTTTGTTGTTGTTGTTATTCATTTGCCCTTTGCATTGTGTGAAAGTTTCATGATGAATGGAGTATTATAAATGGTACTTGGAAAAAATAATTTCTCCATTAACTTCAATCAAAAGTTAAGGACATTTTTTCCTTCTCCTGTAAAGTTACCTTTTTGGAGATACAAGCTTTTGTTCCAGCAGCAACAACATGCTAAAAGTTACGGTGTCTGAAACAAGACAGTGAAGCATCAGCCTGTTCAACTGGTCATCTCAGCCCTCTCATTGGCCTTAGGATCACGTCAGGGTCACCACCGGCTGCACTGTTTTCCTCTCGCTGTTATTGAGGTGGCATTTTATCAGTCTTCTTCTGTTTGGTACATGGCCATGCACTTGGGGAAAATGTCATAGCATGCGTCACTGTTGAATTGCTCTGTCATATCAGCTGGCTAGCAAGAGCTCGGTTGCGATTTGTCACGCTGATTGGCCCTTTGAGTGGGAACCCCATGGCTGCCTTAATAATCCTTCTCTTGGACACAGGTGTTCTCGTACCGAGCATAGATTGTTTTGTAGTCTCGACCCTGACAAGGGCAGTTACAGATGACAAGAATGACCATGTGATGGTTATAGAAGAAAAAATATGCGTTTGTTCTGGGTCTCACGTTTCATCTGGTGTTTTAGAGCAGCGCCGACACCCTTGTTTGTAATGGTGATATCTGTTTTCTCCTTTTGATGGGTTGCAGTTGTCTTGATTTTCCTGCCAATTTAGTCAGTCAGTTCCCAGTGTAGTGCATCCCTTGTGCAACAATATCACCCATCCACAAAACTCACAGATGCTTTCTTCCAGAACATCTGAAGCATGCAAATGCATCTTTTGAACTACAGGCATTGTCTACAGTTGCCTTAACACACTGGGAGGAGAACATTAAGCGCATGTCACAGAGAGCATTTAACCCTGAAGGTTGTGCCTGATTGGCTGGTTTATTGCTTAGCAACAGTGAAAACGGACCCTGCTGTTTTCCTTCCCCATGAAAAGGCAGCTCTCGCCACTTGTGTGTTTGAGGATCCTTATCCACAGATGCACATGGTTGCACTGCGGGGATTCAAAGAGACGTTATTGATAAAATTTAATAACATACTGGTTTTGCATTAATAAAGTTAATAAAACCATAAGTACTGCTACTTTATGCTAAAAGAATGTCCTAAAAAAACAATGTACGCTTGATTTCGACTTTTTTTGCTATTTATCAATACTGGTAAATGTTCCATTGTGGAATACCATAGATATGTTGCTCAGTATTAAGTCTAAATAAGGTATTCATTGTGCATTAAGGCACAACAATATACGTACAGTATATTTGCATATTGAAATGCTCAGAGCTGTATTGCTGATACGCCATTCAATCTCTTCGGAGCATCTCTAATTTAACGCCTTTTATGGAAACCACTCAGTGATTAGTACTAGGTAAATGTGGGGGGTGAGGAGAGGGCTTATGCTTTGCACCCATCCAAGCTCAAATGACTGGGCTTTTTTCTTAAGTTGCTTATAAAATCTAGGGATTTTGAATTTTGGAGCGTATTTTGTTTAATTATAACCTCAGGGTCAAAAATCAAACGTACATATTTATGCAATTAGATGTATAGTTACATCCCTAATTGTGTTTTCACAGATTGGCAGTGATGCTGCTTTCCACCTGAGATCCCACCACAACCACTACCCCAATCCCAGAGTCATCACATTCCCACGACGACACCAGCGAGGCTCCTCCACCAATGGGCTGCGCCGTCAGAAAAGAGACTGGGTCATTCCACCAATCAACGTGCCTGAAAACTCCAGAGGGCCCTTCCCCCAAATGCTTGTCAGGGTGAGTGACAGCTGCGTAGAGTGGCAACTTATGTAGCAACTTATGTAGCAACTATAAAGCAGCATCAGAAATCTTGCAGTATCTCCCTGAGTGGATTGATCTAAAAACTTTGGATGGAGCTCATAAAATCTTTACTTCTCTGGCTTCTGTTTCAGCACTCACAATTACTTTGTTACCATCTCAAGCTCAGTCATTTATGGAAGAGTTTTCACAGCGACTGTTCATTTATTAATCAGTCACAGAAATCAATCAAATAAAAGCTACATTAATAATTTCATGCTGAACTGCAAAATACCCTTTATACTTTGTCAAATTTTGAAAAAAAGGATTCTCAAAACAGGCTACTCAGCTCAACAAAATTCACATAGTCTGCCTCTGTGAATTATCATTAAAAGAACACACCCCAGGCTTTCAAGACTTCCTTGCCTCAGACTTAGACACACACTTGAGAGCAGTGGACCCTCTGGACCCTCATTCTGGTGAAGTAGCAGGGGATTGGAGAGGTTTAAAAGCACGGCATCACAGGTGAATGTTGTCAAGAGCTTCCATCCAGACAGAACTCCAGCGTCTGCCATGGAGAGCTCTCCACAGGTAAAGAGAGGCCTTACATCTATGTACCGGAGTGAAGCCTTGACATGGAGGAATAATCATTGATGGGGTTCAGCACAGGATACTCATCAATCTGCTGCTCAGGCAGCGATACAGCTTGGTTTTCTTGAGAATCAAGACAAATGTGGGTGGGTTGAGTTATTGAATGTGGATTATACACTCTATATATTCTTTACTCTAAGGTTGGAATCATTTATCATATTGTTGTTAATTTATTCAGTAAGTTATTTAGTGTTGATTTAATAAAAAATAGAAGGTATTTTCAATATTGTTCCATAATGTTCAATATTATATCATTTCTAGGAACATCTAGACATTAGTAATGGATACATAATGCACTGCAGGTATTGTAATTTCTTGTAAAGTCATCTGTCTCAAGATTTGGTCATCACTTTACAAATACAAGTAATTATGGATGTTTACTGTATTACAGTATAACAAGCCAGACTTCAGCCTGTTGTAATATGGCAAAGAACTGCCTGCTTGGACAGTAAAGGGCTTTTGGCTGACATGGAAAATAGTCAACCACAAAAATAACTGCAGCATTTTTGTGTGACGTGTAGGGGCAGCCAATTTTCAGAACAAGGCAACATCAAAACTTATATAAGGGATATGAAGGGGTAGCTTCTAAATGCTACAAAACTGTATTCAGTTTGGATTAGTTTATCAGGAGGACAGCTAATCAGTGATAGTGAGAGAGTTTTTAACGGGTTGTATTTTCTGCGAACACAGATTTCTGTGTCATGCATGGTCATATGATCACAGAAAATTAAAAAAATTGATGATAATGTGAATAAAAAGTAATGTTTTGCAACTGTAGCTGCCATTACAATCACCCCTTTTTATAAGCCTTTTCTGGTTGACTTTATTTTCATTCTCCAGCCGCTAATGCTTTCCTAATGTAGAGAGGAAGAATTCAGAGTTCTACCAAGTAATGGTTGAAAGACTCTTCCAGTCCATCCATCATTTTGTGATTCATGAGATGTTTTATGTGGATCTGTGCACTAGGAGCCTAAATTTGGTGAGAAGCAATGGTCAAAAACCGTTTTTCCTGAAGCGAGGTGACATTTGCCTGGAAAATCAAGGAGATGTGTATCCGAATGGGACTAGCATTATCAGACCACTGCTGAGTTCGGTGAAAAATTGTAGGTAATTTGGCCTGTAATTTTTTCAGGGGAGGCAGGAGAAAAACACAGGCATGGCAGAGACAGAAATAAAATCACAGAATAACACCTGTAAAAGAGGACATTACTCCAAGACCCCATGCAAATTGAATCCCTTCCCAGTCAGGCTAGAGAAAAACTGAATAATGCTAAAAAAAAAAAAGTGGTGCTGTGAACTTCACAGTTTTTCAATCCAGTGGCTACATTCTACTCCAGAAATCCATCATGGCACCCAGAGCGGGTTTACTTAACTGTTTCCCATTGGACAAATGAAAAACACTTACGAGGAAGGACAAAGATAGCCAGTCGGAACTGACAAAATCATGATAGTTGTGTCGAGATTAATGAACAATAGCAATCAGCTGACCCATACCTCTGTGTGAGATGCATCTCAGGCTGACACTGATTTTATTAGTTTTTATTTCTTGATGTTACACAGCTTTTCCAATTATTATGGAATTACCTACAGGTCTGTTCATCATTCTGAACACATCTAAAATGATGTAAAGTTTAACAGCTTCCTATAAATGATTGGGAAAAAAGTATATAGAGTATTAGAAGTATTATACATGTATCTGCAACAAAATTGGTTTCATATTATTAAGAAAAACAGTAATTTTAGGTGTTTTAATGTGAGGATATGTTCTGTTGGTGATAAATATAGCAGAATTGATTTGGGTTGTGGATTCAAGCCCCCTGCCAATTTCTTTCCCTTGCTCTCATTCTCTCACTGTGATCTGCAAAATATGCTGCCCTGGATTCAGTTTTAGAAAAGGTTCAGTCTTTTTTGTTAATAATCAATAAATAAAACATCAGTAAGGAAATACAATTGAACCGAACACCCAGATGTGCAGTTGGTTGGAGTGTGTTATATATAGAGTGTGTGGAGGCACAGCTCTGTCTTATCTGTCCTTCAGGCTCTCAGTCTGAGCTGAGCCGTCCATGGGCAGTCTTCATCCTCACCTACTCCCTCCTGCCCATTTGTACCTCTCAGATTACACGCGGGGATTACAGCAGTCTCTTTACACACACATACACAAACCCAAAGAGGCCAGATTAACCACTAAAGCTCAAGCCACCCACAATGATGAAGCTTGTGAGGGTGAAAGGAGTCTGGAATCGGCTGGAGAAATGTTTTTCGATAACCTCGTCCTCACCTTTGCCATTTAAGATGTTTGGGCTTAGTAGACCTCTCTTCGTGGCTGTTTACTTGTAGCAGGTCTTTTAAGACCCTGTTTTTGGTGGCCATTTTGCAGCTGGATTGGACAGGATTTGGGCTGTAAGATACAACATCCAGCTACCGGAGAGAAACACATTAAAAGCACATGATTATATTTTCAAGCAGAGGTTTTACACATAATAATATACAAAGCTAAATGTACTGTAATTAACTTAGTCACTTCATCAAAACAAATAATATAAGCAACGTTCTTATCTTCCTTCCTTAAAGGCAATGTGGAAAACAATATAGAAAACTATGGAACATGGAATTTTCCTCGACTTAATTAAAAAAGTTTGATGTAGTTTGTCATAATTTTTTCAAAACATACCATTCATACAGTCCATTTATTTTTGCTATTGGAAGAAGAACTTCTTAGAAATAGAAAATACCTCTACGCTGTGTGAGAAGTTCATGATAAATGAAAATGGTCCAAAATTACTTGGAAAATAGTCATTTTACATTATCTTTCATCATAACTTTTATATGAAATATTTTCCTTCTCCTATTAAGTTACAAAGTTTTGTCCCAACAGCAACAACATGGAAAATGAGTTACAAAAACCCATTTAAAAATTATTTTTGTAATGTCACAAATGAGTGTTTCAGCTTTTTTTGAATGAGGCATAATACAGGGCAGCCAATTAGAACAGAATTCATTTATCAGTCTTAAAGGCACAGTAACAAAATACCTGTTTAACTCATGTTAAAAGTGGAACAGAGCAGAATTCATTTTTTTTGTGTTTTTGAAGTCTGAATTGATGTGAACTATTGCTCTGTATTGTTTCATTGTATTAAAGTATTAAGTTGAATAAAACCAGTTTAATTGCTAGTTATCAGGTAACATAAAGCACTTTTACAGTGTAAAGGATAAACAAAATTACAACTCTTTTTGGTACAGAATTGCATATAAACATACAACACTTCAGGGGAAAAATGGAATACATAAAAATGTGGGAAATGGGGCCTTTATGCATAATTATCACAACATAATACAAAAAAGAAACGCCACACAGTGCCTCACTGGAACATATCACATCAGTGTCCAAACTAGTATTAGACTGCAGAAGTTCAAAATCAGAAGCCGCTGCACTTCAGACGAAATCCACATCCCTTAAAAACCAGTAGTACCCTCTTTGGCAACTGATCAAAATGCATTTACCTCCATTGCAGATCAACTTTGGAAGATACAACTGTGGAAAAATCAGAACAAGAGATCTGAGTAAGGATGGATAACAACCACCAGAAGCTCAAACAGAAATTCATATACATCCAAGAGTGGGCAGAGAATTTTTCATTAAGCTTGAGAAACCATGGCACCAACATTACATAGAGCCTTTCAATTTCAATTTTGAAGCTTCTGTATTGGCCCCCGCAACTCTTGACATCTTTTTTCCTCTTGCTCCAGCAAGAGCCTCATGTAGTGAAGTTCACTGCAGTCCAATTTAGCAATTAACCTTTGGAGTGTAATTACTTCTTTTCATCAGTGCAATGAAGCATCTTGCTTCCCCGGTATGAGGCACGCACACACTCCTCTCTTCTCCCTAATCGGATAGAGCGGGGAGAGAAAATATACAGCTCTGTCGACTAATCTAATAAACAGTGCGACGTGCATTTATCATTGTTTGCACTTTGTTTATCCCCAATTACCTCCAAAATAGAATTCCAATAAAAGCCCCCCCAACGCCCCTCCCAAAATGAAAGCGGCGAATTCATAATTTACTGCCTACTTCCAATCAATCTGCACTGTTCCCCCCACCTCCCCCACCCAGATAGTCCATTAGCTTGGAGATGAGCTAGCGAACACAGTGCGCCGCGCCAAAATCAGCCAGCTTTTCACTTTGGTGAATACGGTGGGTCCTTGTAGAATGAATAGGAGGGTGATGCCGCAGATGGGGACAGCCGCTTTAAGGAGTGAAAAAGTCTGAAAAGTCGAGCATGGAGCTGGGTCTGCACAGTATGGGCAAAACACTGTATTGCAATTACTTTGCTTTTGCCATTCTTATAAGC